GGTTTTGTATGTGAACTTCAGGCTTCAGATGGCCAGATATCACCAGTTCCTCTCCAGCTGCCTCCTAGAGTCCCTGCCCATGTGTGGTGGGATGTTGTTAGGTGCCATTGAGGTGGTTCTGACTCATAGTAACCCTGTGCACAGCCAAACAAACACTGCCCAGTCCTTTGCCATCCTCACAGTTGTTATACTTGAGCCCATTGCTGCTGCCACTGGACCAATCCATCTCATGAGTGGTCGTCCTCTTTTTTGTGGACCTTCCACTCTACCAAGTGTAATGCTCTACTCTAGGAACTGGTCCTTCCTGATTATGTGTCCAAAGTATGAGAGACAAAGTCTCACCATCCTAAACTCTAAGGAGCACTATGGTTTTCAAGACAGCTTTGTTTGTTTTTTCAGCAGCCCATGGTATTTGCAATGTTCTTCTCCATCACCATAATTCAAACACATCAGTTTTTCTAGGGTCTTCTTTATTCATTGTCCAACTTTCATATGCATATGAGGTTATTGAAAATACCATGCCTTGGATCAGGCACACCTTAGTCCTCAAATTGATATCTTTGCTCTTGAAAAACTGAAGAGGTCTTGTGCAGCAGATTTGCCTATTTGATTTTTTGGCTATTGTTTCCATGTGTGTTGATTGTGGATCCAAGCAAAATGAGTCTTTGACGACTTAAATCTTTTCTCTATTTGTCGTGATGTTATTGGTACAGTTGTGAGGATTTTTGTTTTGTTTACACTGAGGTGCAATCCACACTAAAGAAATTTGCAAGAAAGGGGGGGAAAAGGGAAAGGTTATCATTTCCATGTCTGTAATGTTTGAAATAGTTTACAAGAGGAAAATGGCTTGGTATAGTGCCAGAAAACATCTGACTGTAGAATCAGCAGGCATATGTTCTCATTCTGCAGTGAAGGGAATTTAAGCTCTTCTTAAATTCTTTGATCTTTGTCAGTAAGTATTTTAAGTCCTCTTCACTTTAAGCAAGCCAGGTGTATCATGAGTCTTTCTCCAATCCTGATGCATGTTCTTCTTCATATAATCTAATTTCTTGGAGTATTTGCTCATCATACAGATTGTATAAATAGGGTGAAAGAACACAACCTAATTTTAAACCATTCTGTATCCCCTTGTTCTTTTTGAATGACTGCCTCTTGGTCTATGTACAGGTTCCTCGTGAGCACAGTTAAGTGTTCTGAAATACCCATTCTTTGCAGTGTTATCCATAGTTTGTCATGATCCACACAAGTAAAAAACCTTTGCATAGTCAATAAACCACAAATAAGCATCTTTCTGGTATTTTCTGCTTTCATAACATCCATGTGATGTCAGCAATGGTCCCATTATTTCCACGTCCTCTTCTGAACTTGGCTCGAGTTTCTGGCAATTCTCTGTTGGTGAGAGTTGTTGTTATTGTTATGTACTATCAAGTTGATGAGGGTGCTGTTGTTGTTATTAGATGCCATCGACTCGGTACCCACTCATAGCGACGTTATGCATAGCAAAATGAAACACTGCCCGATCCTGGGTCAGCCTCACTATTGTTGCCATGTTTGAGCCCATTGATGCTGCCACTTTGCCAGTCCACCTCGTTGGGGGTCTTCCTCTTTTTCTCTGACCTTCCACCTTAACAAACATGATACCCTTTTCCAGTGACTGGTCCCTCCTGACAATATGTCCAAAGTACAAGAGATGAAGTTTGGTCATCCTGGCCCCAAGGAGCACTCTGGCTGCACAAAAGAACAAACACAGATCAGTTTGTTCTTCTGGGAGCCCATGGCACTTTCAGTATTCTTTTCCAACACCATAACTCAAATGCATGAATTCTTCTATGGTCTTCCTTATTCACTGTCCAGCTTTTGCATGCATATGAGGTTATTGAAAATACCATGGCTTGGGTCAGGCACACCTTAGTCTTCAAGCTGACGTCTTTGCTCTTCAACACTTTAGAAAGGTCTTGTGCAGCAGATTTGCCTAATGCAATACGTCATTTGATTTCTTGACTGATGCTTCAGTAAGTGCTGATAGTTGATCCAAGAAGAATAAAGTCCTTGACATCTTTAATCTTTCCTTCCTTGATAAGAATGTTGTTTATTGGGGCAGTGGTTAGGATTTTTGTTTTCTTTACATTGAGATGCAATCCATATTGAAGGCTATGCTCTTTGATCTTCATCAGTAAGTATTTTAACTCTTTTTCACTTTCAGCAAGCTTGGTTGTATCATCTGCATATCGCAGGTTGTTAATGAGCCTTCCTCCAATCCTGATGCCCTGTTTTTCTTTATATAACCCAGCTTCTCGTATTATTTGCTCGGCATACAAGTTGAATAAGTGTGGTGAAAGAGTACAACCCTGTTGCACACCTTTCTTAATTTTAAACCGTTTAGTGTTCCCTTGTTCTGTTCGAACAACTGCCTCTTGGTCCATGTACAGATTCCTCATGAGCACAATTAAGTGTTAAGGAATACTCTTACTTCACAGTGTTGTCCATAGCTTATCATAATCAAAAGCCTTTACGTCAATAAAGCACAGGTAAATATCTTTCTGATGTTCTCTGCTTTTGGCCAAGATTCATTAGACATCAGCAGTGATATACCTCATTCCACAGCCTCTTTTGAATCTGGCTTGAACCTCTGGAAGTTCTCTGTCAATGTATGCTTGTAGCTGTTTCTGTATTACCTTTAGTAACACTTTCCTCGCATGGGATAGCAAAGATATTGTCCAATGATTTCCGCATACCTTTGGGTCACCTCTCTTTGGAATGAGCACAAATATGGATCTCTTCCAATCAATTGGCCAGATAGTTGTCTTCCAAATTTCTTGGCATAGATGAGTGCGTGCCTCCAGTGCCGCCTGACTTTCTTGAAAAATTTCAATTTTTATTCCATCAATTCCTGGTACCTTGTTGTTTGCCAGTTCCGTCAGTGCACCTTGATGAGGGTTGTTGTTAGGTGCCATCGAGTCGGTACCGACTCATACCATGTTTTAGGACCTGGAGAAATTTCCCAATTCAGTCATGTTCTCAACTAGCATGTGTTGCGCACCCGGCACTGTGTTCGGCACTAGGTATGGAAAGATGAATAAGAGACACTGCTCCTGCCCTCACAAAGTGTGTAGACCAGCAATGGAGAAAGAGATGCAACACCGCCTATAGTTTCTCCTCCCTAAAAAGGCTTTTTTTTTCATATCTTTATTTTTCTAAAATCAGGAATTTCATGTAATTATTTTGGATATTTAATGTAGTGATGTTGTCCTCTCCCCCTATCTCCACACTCTATGGGGTCTTTGAATCAAGAAATTGCAGTGGTTCAACACTGAATCATTCATTATAAAGAAAAATATAATGAGCCCTATTTTAGAGTCTAGCCACTTGTTCTCAAATGGTAGTATATATAAAAATCATTTTGTTAAAGTGTAGATTCTGATTCAGTGTGTTGAGTGGAAATGTGAATTCTCAGTAGGGGCTCAAACTGGGATGAACCGGTTCAAATACCTGATTTAAATCTCTCAGGGAGCTTTTGAAATCCTAATGGTCAGGGTGCCCCACAGACTAATTGAATTAGAATCTCTGGAGGTTTATCTGATGTTCGTCTCATGCCTAGACTAGGCTTATAGGTTTTTGTGAGGAGCACCACTGAGCTCTCGTAACTTAGTGGTTACGAGTCGGGCTGCTAACCCTCAAGGTCAGCAGTTTGAGACTACCAGCAGTTCCCCGGAGAAAAAAGATGAGGCTTTCTGCTCCCATAAAGATTTACAGCCTCAGAAAGCCCGTACAGGGTCCACAGCACACCACCACCACCACTGAGGGAAGTAATCTTGTCACCGCCCTTGTCATCACACCCTATCAGGAGGACATGACATCACTGGTGGTGGTAACCTCAGCCACTTGGTTAGGATAGTGTTTGCCAGGTTTCTTTTCCCTGTTATAAAGGTGCTATTTTTTTCCTTTGGCAATGAATCACTTAGTCTAGCTCACGTTAAACGAGGAGAAGCTGAGCCAGGAGCTGGAGACCTGGGACCTATTAAAAAACTGGAAGGAACAGAAGTACCTTGAATAAAGCAAGCATGCGTAAACCATCAAAAAAAAAAAAAAAGGAGGGGAAACAATCTACCTCTAGTGTTTGGAATTCTTCCGTAAGGAAAAGTTGTCACTATACTTATTGGTATCTGTCTGGACTCACATACATTTGTTTTGTACTTTGGTTTATAATCCGATACTACATTCCTTATTTTGTTGCTTTGGTCATTGAGCACTCTCTCAGATTGGCACCTGTGTTCCTATGATATGCCCCTATGCTCCAAGCTCATCTTGTATTTTCCCTGCTCCAACCTTAGAATCTCCAAGGAACCCTGATTCCTTCTAGTGGAGAATGAAATTTAGAAACCAAATCTGGTTGTAGGCACTTATTATCTTTTGAGAGGCAAAAGTCAGAAAAAGAGAAAGCTGTCTTATATATAATGTATGAGGAACAATGGAAGCACAAAGGTCGGGGTGGTGGCTTCTACTGTGAAGTCTTCTGTGATGAAATGGTATTTGAAGTTGAGTAGATTTTTCCAAATGGAGATCAGATTTGGGGGAGTAGAAGAGGGAAGAGGTTTAGCATACCAAGGCTTCTAGGCCTCTTAATTTGATCTGAAGATAGAGTTACAGTATCATGGCTTCTCTTTGCTTTTCTTATTACATACAAAACTGGCAATTTTCACAGATTAACGTCCTTTAAAAAAGGGTTTTCTTAACAGTTGACTGTCCCCCTCCTTTCCCTAGCTTTATTACATTCTTCCTTCTAAATGTCCTAGTTCTTATTCTGTGCCAGGTGTGGCACTGGGCATATCGTGACAAGTTCTACCGTGTGAAAGCCTTTTGCTTTTGTCCTTCACCCTGTGTCTAATTTTTAATGCTTTATGCACTAGCATGAAGAGGGACGACGAGGAAGTATCCTCAGTGTCTGTGTTGTGAATATGACATGATTCTTTGTTCACTCTGGAAACCTTTTCTGTTCACAGATAACAATCGGTGTATATGACCCATGTAACCTAGTTCAGCACCCTGGATGGCCTTTGAGGAATTTTTTGGTCCTAGCAGCCCACAGATGGTATTTACAAGTGTGTGTGTATGTGTGTATTTGTCAGTTTGTTTATTTTTGTGTGTATACCTTTGACCGTGTGCCTGCCTTTGTCTGTATCACTGTTTTCTAAAGTGTATATTTCCCCTACAAGTCAGTTAATAAAACAGGAAATCAGTCCTGGTCTAATCTCCATCAGTGGTGAGCGCTTCATCAAGTCTGTTGTGGAGCTGCAGACTTGATCATACCGGACCAAGGTGGGACGGACAGCTGGAAGTCCTGACGCTGAAATTCTTGAGCCTTCTTTCCCTGCTGTCTCCATCACTTTTTTTGTAACCGATAGAAACTAAAACAGTGTCCAAAAAACTAATTAATACACATGTGAAAAGATCCTCTAGTTCATTAATCATTAACAGTAATGATGAGATACAGCTATATAGCCTCCAATAAGATTTTTTAAATTACAATACCAAGTGTTGTCAAAGATATGGAGCAATTGGAACTTTCAAAACCTGCTGGAAAACTGTTTAGTAGTATGTTCCAAAGATAAAAACACTATGGCTCAGAGACTTTATTCTCAGGTACGCAGTGATACATGGTGGTGGTGGTGGTGTGCCATGGAGTCCGTTCCGGCTCATAGCGACCCCACGTAGGGTTTCCGAGGCTGTAATTCTATATGGGAGCAGAAAGCCTCATCTTTCTCCCACGTAATGGTACATAGATACAGTCAAAACATGTACAGAAATGCATATAGCAACATTGTTCATAATACCCTGGTATCTGTCAAGAATGCTAACAAATACTAAGTTGTAATGTATTCATTACAATGGGCTGCTGTATTGCAGTGAATCGGAATGCATTATTGATACATATATCAAAATGAATGGATTTCAGAAATACAGTGTTGAGAGAAACAAACCAAATGTAAAAAGTTTTAAAACAGGCAAAAGCAACATTTGGGTTTAGCAGTTAGAGTAGTAGTAACTCTTAATGACTGGGGTGAAGCATGGGTCGGGCTTCTTTATACTTAGGGCTTGTGTACATTTTTGCATGTCTGTTCTACTTAAGTAAAAATGTTTGTTTAAAAGAAGATAATTTACATTTTTTTCCCCACAGGGAGAATGTTATGTATGTATTTATCTAGGTGGTATGTCTATACAGGACAAACGGGCTGCCTAGTTACTAACTGGGGTGCTATTTAAAAGCATGCTTTTAGAGGTAGAGGGTGAATCAGAAGTTCTTTTAAGTTCTATGTAAATGTCTTGTGAACTTTGGTATTTTATTTTTATTTTGCTGCATTTAAGATTCATTTGTCAGGGTCATGTGCAGTGTGCTTGCTACATAAAATTCACCTAGAAAGAAATCACAGCCCATTCAGTTTCCAATCTGTAAGCACTTAGACGTAGAAACCTATATGTCTAGGACCAAAATATCTTCAGGGTTAAGGCAAATTCTAAGGGTACCAGAGAGGCTAATTAAAATGAACTGAATTCTGTCCTACTGAGTTTACTAAGCTCTGATGTCAATTCATTCTTTTTCTTCCTTAAAAAACAAAAACCTAAACAACCATCACCTGGGGCATGGCTACAGGAGTAGCCGTTTCCAGTCTGTGGAGGTGCTCTGCTTCCGGGACCGCACACTGCAAGGGATGAGAGACATCACCCACAGCATCGTCTTTGAAGTGAAGCTTCCAGAAATGGCATTTAGCCCAGGTAATTTGAGACTGCATATAATTATCCCTTATCAGATGCCAACTCAGGTGTAGTGTCCCTCTATCCCTTCTCAATGTGTTTGTGTGGGTGGGGTGGGATGATTTATGCCTCTGGGCCAGTGTGAGTACCCCCCTTATAACAGAGGCTGCCCTCTGCTGTTCACATGGGAGCAGTGACAGAGATTACCAGGAGAACGTTGTCCCCAGGCAGTTTTTTCAGTTTTGAGAATGGCTTCTCCCTAGTTTTTGTTTCCATTTAGCACAAAAATCTATATCCCTGTCCCTGCTTGAAGGATGGAACATGATTAATGCAGTTATAAATTTGTTACATGCTTACAATTGTATTTGATCCTGGTCTGTATCTAGTAAACCACTCAACCTAGGTGCTATTTCATCCACATTTTACATCCATCATCTGTGTCGTAAACTATTATCAGTTACTATCCATATTTTGTAATTTAGGAAATATAGGCTCAGAGAAATTTTAGAAATATGCATGTGTGAACTCAGAGCACTACGGAAGAAAGCCCTGGTGATCTGCTTCAGAAAGGTCACAGCCCTGAAAACCCTAATGTCCGGGTCTGCCCTCGACATAGTTGTCACGAGTGTTTGGTTCACGAGGAGGGGAGATCCAGCGGCGATAGGGATAGCGAAAGAATACACAGACAAACAGAAGAAGGGAGACAATGAGGCACCCCAAAGCCAGGGTGGATACATCACTGGTGGGCAGGCTTGGGACTACAGGCATCATGGCCTCTGCAGGCAGCAACTCACTGCCCTGCAATCTTTACTGCATGCCTTCCAACCCGTAATGCACCGCAATCTTTACTCCATGCCTTCCAACCAGTAATGCACACCTGGGGAGGTCCTGGCCTCTGTTTTATTTAGGGGAGGAACTTCACACCAGCTGGGAGGGATCTTTACAGAAGAAGAATGGTATTCAGACAAGACAATCTTTAAGATAAATTAAGCCAGTAAACCTTACTTAAACCAATATTCCTTTCTTCCTTACTAGGTTTAACCTTCACTTGGATCAAACTGATTGAACCCAGGGTGGTCCGAGGGCGTTGTCCCCATTGTCCTTAATCCCGTATTCACAGAATTTACCACTCCACCCCAAGTGAATATACCCCGGGCAGTTCCTCTCCAGAGCCTCCCTGCTTAATCCCAGTAAACCTGTCCTTGTTCGTCCTCTGAGGAAGTTTTACTGCCTTGGTTCTAGGGGAAAAATCTTGACCTTAGAAACTTAGGGGAATATTGCATTTCTCTGTGGACATCCAGGGCTCATGTTTGGAATTAAATAAATGTGACTAAACAATTTGATGAAAAACAATTTGCTATTAACTGCCAAGTGGCTTCATTTGTTACACTCGGGCCTATAGGGCCTTGAACCTCTGACCAGTCTTACACTGTCCGCAACACCCTATGGAGCAGTTCTACTGTGCACACGTGGGGTTGCTGTGAGTCAGAATCAACTCAAAGGCAACTGGACCTGGTTTTCGTCATTTGGGTTTGGTACATATGTCTATATATGAGAACGCTCCAAAAAGTTCATAGAAAGAGGGTTTGTGGGAACATTCCATTATCTGATAATTCCATTTTCTATGATCTTTTTGGAGCTCCCTTGTAAAAGATAGTGGGATTCTTCCACTAACTTTCTAAAGCCCCCTTGTGTATGTTGGTGGTGGTTGCCATTGATTATTTCAAGATATTCCATCCCAAATTGTTGTTGTTATTGAGTGCTGTCGAGTCGGTTCCGCCCCACAGTAACCCTGTATAGGGTTTCCAAGGAAAAGCTGATGAGCTTGAACTGCCAACCTTGCTGTTCAAGCCAACTTTGCTGTCTAGTGCATTAACCCACAGCGCCACACCACGGCTCCCATTGCAAAATAACCTCTTAGATTTCTGTGACTTTTATGCTTTCTAACAGTAGCACTTCTGGCTCCTTATCAGAAGGTTGTGTGCTCAAATCAATTAGGGTAGAGGACAGCTCCCTTTGGAGTCCTGGTGTGGTGCTGCAGGATAATGCACTGGACTGCAAGGTCACTTTGAACCACAAGGTCAGCGGTTCAAACTCACCAGCCACTCCTTGGAAACTCAGTCACTGTGAGTTGGAACCAACTCAACCACACTTAACACAACAAAGTACTTTCACGGTGTTAGAATATCTTCTGATATATTATTTCTAGAGTGCAAAAGGATTCAGGATTGACTCTGATGACATTTTGTATGTGATCTTATCTGTAGGATTTTTATAAAGATTGACAGAGTACTCTGCAAAGTCAGCCAAAGGAGGAAACTGCTAACATTTTTAGTTTAGAGTCTTAAGACATCCATTGCTTTTCTGATGTCTTCAGATATTTGCATTTGATTTAGCATCCTCTCCTGGCACATTCTAAGATAGCTTCCTTATAATGTTAACTAAAGATAATGTTGGAGTCCTGATGTGACGTTGTAGGATAAGCACTGGACTGCTAACAAGGTGCAAACCAACCAGCTGCCCCTCAGAAATCCTATTCAGGGTTGCCATGAGTTGCACTTAACAACAACAACAAAGATAATGTTAACTAAAGGAGCCCTGGTAGTGCAATGATTAAAGCCCTTGGGTACAACCCAACAGGTCGGTGCTTTGAACATACCAATCACTCCATTGGTGGCAGTCTGCTCCCATAAAGATTTACAGCCTTGGAAACCTCAGGGGGCGGTTCTAACCTGTCCTTTAGGTTCGCTATGAGTCGTGATCGACCTGACTGCAGTGGGTTTGGTTCTAATGATAACTTACTGGAAGTTAATAAAACCTCTGTCTTATGAAACTGCAGCTGTAGTTTGTTTTGAGGAGAATGAATGAGGTGAGTGTTCGCGAATATGCAGTGAGTGCCTGGTCTTTTCCAAGCAGACCATTAGGTAGGTACCTTCCCTGTGTTTCCTGTTTAATCCCTCCTTCAACCCTATAGGGTAATTTTTACCCTGTCTTTTTACTTTTATGATGAAGATGCTAGGTTCCTTATACTTCCTACTCACCAGGAAATGCTGTCCATTTTCATTTGAAAAAGCGGTTTTCTGTTGTCCAATAATGCCTTCAGTGTATCTTCTTTATAACTGCTATTGATTATGGATTATTCAATTTAAGAAGGGCAATGTTTTTTCAAATAAATTAATGTTTTCTAATATTTAGGAAGCAAAGGTGTGAATGCTATATAATGATGTGAACTGAAGGTATTAGTATCATAATGCTTTTTGGTATTGCTAAAATATTGCATAATTGCAAGGACAGTGTAGCTGATAGGAATGACATTCAGACCACTGCCACACAGGTAGCAGACTCTGCCTGGAGGAGGGAGAGATCCCCTCATCGTAACTTTCTGTCCCTGATGTGGGTCTCCTGGTTGCCCAACCATAGGAACACAGAAGCTAATTTCCCCCTAAAAAATATTACCTCATGATTGTTGTTTTTAGTTATAATTATCCTTTATCAGAAGCCAAAGCAGGCGTGTGGTTGTTGTTGTTAAGTGCTGTTGAGTCGATTCTGATCCATAGCGACATAGTGAGCTTGAACTGCCAACCTTGCAGTTCAGATGACTTTGCAGTTTCATGCATTAACCCATAGTGCTACACCAGGACTCCAAATCAGGTGGGTTGTTGTTGTTATGTGCCGTGGAGTCGGTTCTGATTCACAGCGACCCTGTACAGGATTTCTGAGGCTGTAGATCTTTACGGGAGCAGAAAGCCTCATCGTTCTCCCATGGAACAGCTGGTAGTTTCGAACTGCTGACCTTGAGGTTGGCAGCCTGACTTGTAACCACTATGCTACCAGAGTGCATCCCTTCTCAGTATGTAGGTAGAGTGGGACAACTGATTGAGCTCTGACTCGTGACAACCTTCTGTATAAATGTCGTCCAGTGAGTCCTGAGTCATCTTCAAGTCATGGGTCTGCTCACTCCGTTGTTTGCAGCCACTGTAGATTTTGACTACCTTCCTACCTTCCAGCACTGTATTTTCTGTTGTAAAACATAGGATATTCACTGGCTTGTTCTCAGAAGTAAATTGCCAGCCCATTCTTCCTAGTCTGTCTTAGTCTAGAATCTCCACTGAACCTGTCCACCATGGGTGACCCTGCTGGTACTTGGAATACCAGTGGCATAGTTACCAGCATTACAGCAACATGCAATCACCGACAACCGTTTTGTTATTTTGGGTATATTTTATGAGTGTGGATTATGTGGGGGCAGATATGGTAGATGAATTGTTATTGTCATATGTAGTATATTTCATTATTGATACAAATTTAAAGTGTATCAAGTTTTCTTAGAAATGACTATAACTTTATGAGTAAAAAAGTGTTTTTTAAAATGACATTTGTTTTGTATCATAATTTTTTGTCTGTATAATGGGAGGAAGCTGAGACTGGGGTTATTAATTATAGTACTAGATTTTGAGTCCATAGTTCTTGTCAAGTTCTGTGCTATGCATTCCCACCACTGCTGGGAATCAATTCTGACTGGTAAGGCCTGAGAGAAGAGAGAAGTGTTCCCTAAGGCTCTGAGACTGTCAATCTTTGTGGAAGCAACAGCCTCATCTTTCTCCTGTAGAGGGGCTGATGGATTTGAACCGCTGAACTTTTGGTTAGCAGCCCAGTGCTTAATCCAGAGCACCACCAGGGCTCATTTATGCTATGTAGTAGAAAGGCATTTTTAATTTAACATGAGGTTAATAAAGAAGTCAAGCAAAATACGAATTAATTACAGGTTTGAACTCTTTTTTTCCCCCTTGGAAAAAGAATATTCAAATGTTACACTCTTTAAAAATCTCAAACCTATTATTTTAGTTTTAATTTTCCATGGCTTAAAAAGGAGACCACCCCCGGTGCCTGACTTCAAAGTGGGAAAAGACATTTGTATTCTGGTTTCTTGCTGTGAATGATGCCCCAGCCAAATCAGGGCCTCAAGGAAGTTTCAAAGATAATTAGCCCATGGTTTCCAGTTGGATATCCTATCCCAGAATGGAAAGATTGTGTAAACAAAATCAACACCTTCTAAGTTCCATAATTGTGTTAAGCAATACTATTTTAAAAACCAAAACCCAAAAGCTAGAGCATTCCCGAGGAAAGGAAAATAGAGATGTTGATAGAAATCTAAAAATAGGAAACTAGCCAAACAAAAGTGTGCAAGTGAAAACAAACATCAAACAACCCTTAGCAGTTCTGTGTAGCCTGAATGTGGCACTGCAGGATAAGCACTGGACTGCTAATCACAAGGTTGGTGGTTCAAACCTACCAGCTGCACCTCAGAAACCCTGTACAGGGCTACCTGACAGCACTTAACAGCAACAACAAGCAGTCCTTGTACATCTTGGGTTTAGGTGAAGGAGTTTATATTCCTGCAGATACTGGAGGTTATGCTGGAAGGGGAAGTTCTGACTGACTGAAACAACATGTAGAATTCCTGCTAAGAAGTTGACACTTCAGTATGAGCAGTGGGGATTCAATGAGAAAGAAAAGTTCTGAGATGTAGGGAGTGTGAGGGAGTGAGGGGTCAAGCTCACATGACTGCCGTCTCACCAGGAACTAGCTTTCAGTTAAGATGAGGCGCTGGCAAGAATGTTCACCAAAGCACTTGAGATTTTTTAGACAATCTTCCAATCATAGCATAGAACAGCATTTTTCTGAATGTGCCCTATGAAATATTAATTAGTGTTTAGGGGCAAAGGAGGGAGGTTTGGAGATCTAAGTAAGTTTGGAAAACACAAAGCCAAATAAAATAAACTGGATTTTTCTCTGTAGGTTTCTCAGGGTGTTTGTCTTCCTGATGTGCAATATGAATGTCCAGATTTGGATGCTGGGGGCGGATATAGAATATAGATGTAGGAGCATTTTTAAAGCATACTTAGCCACAAGAATCTTATTTTTTGCTGGGATTGGAGTTGCAGGGGCTACTGCTCTTGCCCTTCTGTGCCATGGAGACCATTCTGATTGCTAGTGACACCCTACAGGACGGAGTAGAACTGCCCCGTAGGGTTTCCTAGGATGTCATTTTTATGGGATCAAATTGCCAAGTCTTTTCTCCTATGGAGCCACTGCGGGGCACATAAACCACTGCACCACCAAGGCTGCTTGAGGCTGCCATAAACTCACTGTTGTCAACTCCAGCTGGTAGAGTAGAGCTACTCCATACCGTTCCTGAGGCTCTAAATCTTTCTGCTGTGGAGAGACTGGTGGGTTCAAACCCACAAACTTACAGTGAGCACCACCAGGGCTCCTTCGACACTACTATTAGCAAAACCAGACCCACTGCAATCGAGTCCATTCGGACTCATAGCAACCATGTATGGAGTTTTCGAGGCTGTAAACCTTTACTGGAGCAGAAAGCTTTATCCTTCTCCTATGAAGCAGCTGGAGGGTTGAACTGCTGACCTTGCGATTAGCCACCCTGTGCTTATCCTACAGCATGTAAAAGAGAGATCCATGAAGAAGTGATAAGTTAGGGAAAAGGAAAGTCTGAATGGACACGAATAAGCGTAAAGGAGAGAGCATTTTAACAGGTATAGTCAACTGGGAGCTGTGAGGCTGAGCAGAAGGACATGATAGAATGAGGACACAAGGGACTTGCTGAACTCACAAGTTCAAAGTCTTACAGTGAAAGGAGCCCTCACATAGTTATACCCACCCCAAAGATGATTGTCTTGTTTTATACAACTTCCAGTAATTGCAGAAGATGAGGCACCTTAGGACAGATTTCAGGGCTATTTCAGAAGTCCCTCTAGAAAAAAAAACTGCTCAGTTCTCTAAAGAGTGCTGGCATAGTGCTGCAGGATAGTGCACTGGACTGCAAACACCTGCTCCATGGAAACCCTATACAGGGTTGCGATGAGTTGGAATCGACGGTACGGCCCTTAAGAACAACAGCAAAGATTTCTAGTAGCCCAGGATGATGGGAGGCAACCATGGCCTGCTAAACTCTTAGTTTATCGATGCATGGGTCGTTGTGAATATTGATCTTATTAAAGTAAGTTTTCTGCTTTCTTACTTGTTTTCATTCTTCTCTTTTTCATTAAACTTGTTGTTTTATTTGCCTTAAGATTGCCCCAAAGCAGTCGGGTGGGAGAAGAACCAGAAAGGAGGCATGGGACCAAGGATGGTGAACCTCAGTGAGTGCATGGACCCTAAAAGGTACACTTGCAATGTTGCCTTCTGCCTTAGGACTTTTTGTGGCATTAGGTCTGTCAGAATGACTGTCTTACCCCCTGTCCTGGGGCTACGTTCCCACTGACCCTGCTCTGTGCTGTCTGATGCTGAATTTCAGTCTGATTATAAGAATTAGTATTCATTCTGGATATCCTGAAGAACATATGGTCCATCTGGTGGTGGTGGTGATTACACGCTTCCAACTCATAGTGAACCTTTACAGGGTTTCTGAGGCTGTAAATCTTTATGGGAGTAGAAAACCTCATCTTTCTCTCATGGAACAGCTGGTAGTTTCGAACTGCTGACCCTGAGGTTAGCAGCCCGATTTGTAACCACTATGCTATCAGAACTCCTTGTAGTCCATCTAGACAGTGTAAATTTTGTCCTTGCTTCAGGCTCAGATCCTCAGACCTATACACCTCACCCACAGCCTGTAACTTGGTGCTGTTGGGCTACATTCAAGGACATAATTGGGAATATTTCAAGGAAAATAGTATTGTATTTAAGAGAGGATATAAATGCAGCCTTTACTGATGTGCTCTATAACTCCTATGGAGTCCTGGTGTGATGCTATAGGAGAAGCTCTGCACTGCCAACTTCGAGACTGGAGGTTCAAAACCATCAGCCACTCCTTGGAAACCCTACACACAGTTGCTATGAGTTGGAACTGACTCGATGGTACTCGACAACTGCAACAAGAGTCCATTTTCACCTTAGTTACTAGAAGTGCCATATCAAATGTGTGGCCCACCACTAGCAATTGCTGAGGAATATATTGGCATGCAAGGAGCCCTGGTGATACTGGTTAAGCACTGGGGTAATAACTGAAAGGTTGGCAGTTCAAAACCACCAACTTGTTCTACTGGGAAAAAAAAGCCCTGATAATCCGCTCTTGTAAAGATTTCAACCTAGAACCCTTATGGGGCAGTTCTACTCTGTATTGTAGGGTCACTATGAGTTAGCAGCAACTCTTAGTGCACAGCAGCATGCAAGCTGTGGCAAACTGTGAAATCTCTCCTCCCTGTTTACTCTCAGGCTTCATCCTATTCTCCCATGGATCCCAATTTCCTCATGATTTATTTTCCTGTTTGAGAACAAGATTGGGGTGTAAATAATGGCTTCTTTCATTTTCTAGGCTAGCTGAGTCATCTGTGGATCTAAATCTCAAATTGATGTGCTGGAGATTGGTCCCTACTTTGGACTTGGACAAGGTTGTGTCTGTCAAATGTCTGTTGCTTGGAGCTGGCACCTTGGGTTGTAATGTAGCTAGAATACTAATGGTAAGTGGGCAGGTACTGAATGGTACCTTTAACACTGTGGCTTCTCCTCTGGTTTTACTGTACATGATTGCCTCCAGTCTTCCAGGTTCATCCACCCCCAACTTTTCCTTCTCTCCCTCATTCCCTTTCTTCTATTTTCAGTATCGTTTCAATTGTGAAAGTAATACATGCTTTTAGTATACAAATTCAATCAATATAGGACTGTAAGATCTCTCTCCATTCCCATTCCAAAGTCCCATTTCCCAGATTTAACCAGATTTCATTGATAGTTTGCAGTATTATCTGTCCCAGAAGATTTCATATGGATATATAAAGATATAGAGAGAATGCTGTTGTTTGTTATTTATATATTTTTTCTTATAAAACTATATTGGATCCTGTACTGTCTATGACAGGTTTTATCTTAATGTTTTTATCTTTAACAATTTGGGTTATCTTCCAAATTTATATATACATAATATTTTCTTATGTGATTATATTCCCAGTTTATTTAATCTGTTTTAGGTTGTTTTCATTAAAAAAGAGACTGTGTTGAATTGGACATTTTCATACTTACATCTTTTTGTATCTGTGTTAGAATGTATAACTTGTATATATTTTGTCAAACTCAATTATCTTCTAAGAACATTATATTACTAGAAACATGTGACAGAGCTTTTTCCACCCTCTTGCCAAATTGAGTATATCAATATTTAATTTTTTCTCAGTCCAGTTGATTAAGTCACATTTCATTATTGTAATTTAAATTGCTTTAATTAGTGAGAGTGAGTTTTTATTTTTATTTCTTTTGTGAATTTTATTTTTTCTATTCATGTACTTCGGGCTGTGTTTCTTTTACTGATTTGCATTCTTTAAAAATTGTTGTTGTTAACCTTTATTCTGTAATGTGATAAAATATTTAGCCATATACAAGTTTAAAATTTTTATGTTATTGAGTCTCTTAACGTTTTCCTTTATAGTTGATAGAACAGTTTTTTAAATAATGTTTTGATCTTCATCAACATGGAATTTATTTTTGTATATTTTCCCTGAAAATGAGTAGTCAGTTATTTTAATGACATTCATTTAATAATCAAATTCTCTTTTCCACCTTTATCAAATACTAAGTCCTTTTATATACATGGGTTGCTTTCTGTACTCTTTATTTGTTCCACTGATTGATTTATTCTATATTCTTTCTCACAGTTTTCATTGAAATTGTAATTAACTGGTAGACAAATTGGGAAGGATTGACATCTTTATAGTATTGATCCATAGTTTCAGAAGTATGGTGTATCTCTTCATTTATCTGCATCATCTTCATCTTAATGTTTCTTTAGGTCTTGCACATGTCTTATTTATTTCTATGTATTTAATTATTTTTTCTTTTATAGATACTCTCTCCCATTAAAGTGTCCAGGTCACTATTTCAGGTATATAGGGAAGACAATGAGTCTTGCATATTTATCTTTTATTTGACCATCTCTCTAAAGCTCTCTTAGTTTAGTAGTTCTTTATTTGATTTTTTTCAATGTATCAGTTGATTAGTATTCTACACTAGTACTGATATGTTTTTTTCCTTCTCCTTGCTGTGCAGGATTGGCTAAGACTCCATAGTAATGATGAATAACAGCAGTGAGAATGGGCCTCTCTGTTTTGTTACTTGACTTAATGAGAATTCATTAAACTTTTGTATTTGATATTGTTTTTTTAAAATTTCATTTGTATTTTTCACATCTTGCATTACCAAGTCAAGCCAACCTATAGTAAGGTTTTTCCTTTGGGTGCCTTTGCATATTCGCTGGTTTATCTGCACTCCTCAACTATCTTGAAGTATGAATTATCTTTTCCTTGATGGTTTCAGTATCAGTCCTCTTGGGAGTAGAGCCTTTTGGAATTTGTTGAGAGGATGAGGGGATCTTCTATGTTGCTTGTCTTTGTTGGATTTCATACCACTTGAATCAGTTTAGTCATTATGGTTTCCTAAAAAATTACCCGTTTTATCTAAATTAAAAAAATTATAGATATTAGGTGCTGTCAAGTCTATTAATTCTGACTCATAGAGACCCTATGTTGTTGTTGTCAGGTGCCATTGAGTCGGAACCGACTCATAGCA